TTATACGTTCCGCCTGATTTAATAGCAGCTTTAAGATTTACAGGAGGGCCTCCCTCATGTGCTCTTACACTGTCATTTCCATAACAATATTATATTTACATCTCATTAATATTTAATTATACTCTCCATACTTTTACATGGCAAACAGCTGAGTGTGCTGCTCCCATCTCAGCAAACCAATTGAAAGAAAGCAGCATGTATTCCCTTTCATCACCTCATAAACTGCTGCAGTAATTACAATATTACAACACGAAAAACATGCCCGAACCACAGCGAGCTGTTACCAGCAGAAAGCGAGGCGAAGCTGCAAAGTGGATGCTAAACATTAAAATTTAATTCAAAACAGTCCACTGATTCAGACACTCCCAGATTGTTGGGTCACCTACAGTTGACATTAACAAACAGAGATTGGTGTTTTTGTTGTGCCGCCTGTCACATGAATGAGAATGAGGAGGTTGGAGGAGGAAGAAGGACAAAGGAAGACAAAACTCAGACATTTGGGAGTGAAGTGAGAGGATGACTGATGATGATGACAGGCTCTGCTGTTTCAATATTCCTCCCCGCTGACACCTCGTAGGCACACATCTCCACACACACAAACACACTCCTCACACACTCCCTCCTCACCTCCGCAACATTTAGCACCTGCACCGTTCTGAAAATCTTTTCTCTTTGAACTGAATAACTGGCAAGGAGTCTCTTGACGTGACAGTCGCAGAACAAAAAAAATACCCCAAAAAATTCTCCCAATTATGACAACATTTGTTTTGCGTGTGATTTGCTTTGACAGTGATCCGTGGCTGTCTTGAGAGTCTGCTGCCAAAAAATGACCTGCCGTCCTCTGGGGGGATTGGGGAAGAGAGGGGGAACTCCTGACAGATACATTTGAATGATCAAAAAATCTGTTTAGCGGGAACATTTTCTGCCAAATGTCCATTAAATAGATTAACGTCATGTGAGTGGATCAGCTGGACACCCAAATATAAGCCAGAGACAGAGAGCAATTACTGTCTTGCACAGAGAAGAGATTGGGAACAATGGCGCCTCATTTATAAGGGAAACGTGATCCAGCGCTGGGAGCCTTTAGACGGCTGACTGTCGAATTTGCGATTGTTCTGTTTTCTGCGTGTCTGGGTGTCTCCTGTGTCCATCATGCTGCCAGCGTGGACTAATGTGGGGGTTTTATTGACAGTAAGGGTGGACAGGTTTCAGTTTGGGGGACATCTTTGTGCATGAATGGCACTGTACGCTTGCCAGCATGAATAAGTGTCGGGCTCCAGTGTTACGTGTGCTGAAAAACAATTCAGAGTCATCAGGGTCCTTAGCACAGTGCTAATACAACACACGAGTCCACGCAGTCCTCACCGCCTGTCCAGCTGAAGACATGCCGAGGCGCCGTCGTGTAGTCTCCCGCTCCACTGCAGGCTCTTCTTTTTTTCTACATGGGTGTGTGTTGTGTGCGTATTAGTGTCTGAATTAGTGTGTGAGATGCAGGTGTTGTCAGCCATCTCCTCCTCCTCCTCCTCCTCCTCATTCACACACACACGCACACAAACACACACTACCCCCCTTACCTCCATGACTGCAGCCTCGTCCACTGGGAGACCGGTCGGTGGTGCCACTCATGTGTTAACATCGCCATGGCAACCCCTCTCTTCCCCTTGCCCACCACGCCACACACACAGTGGAGTCACTCGCCCACACCCACCAACCTCAAGACACACACACAGACATGCACACTGAATTCCCTGGACTGCATCCGGTGCAGGACAAACTTAATCCACATGCCCCGCCAGCCATCTTTGAAAAGTCCATTCATGGTTCAAGTCTCTTTCAGATAACTTTGGGTGAGGTCCGCAACAACAACTTTGCTTTATCTTTCTCAATCAGGTCGCAGCGACACAAGTCCCAGCTCAGCCGTTCTTATGTTCATGACGGAGGCTGATGAAAGAAATATCGCAGTTGTACGCGCTACAAATGACCTCCCGTCACTGTTATTGTCTTGCTAAATCAGTGCAGAGGCCTGGAGACGGTGGCGCTACACTACATACCTATTGCACTCTGCCTGTCTGAGCATCTTTGTTGCATGGTCCTGTTTTGTGTTAGGGTGAGCGCTCACTGTTGAAATCTTACATTGTTCTCCGAAACCTTCTGTCTATGGCCCAGATGAATGACAGACAAATAAACCATGGTGTGCAGAGAAAAAATTCTGAGTCATGCATCCTTTTACATCACTTTTGATGAATAACTTCTTCAGTTCTGTAGCCAAGACTACAGGCATTCATTTGGCAACTTAAGAAGAAAAGGAAGAAAGATGGCGGCGCACCGCACATTGTACTGTCCATCCTAAAATGGCTGACATCACAGCCTCCTCTAACTGCCAAAGACTGGCAAATGCCAGCTCCTGCTGACCAAACCTTTCTTGCATGGGACAGAGAAAGTGGCAGGGGCTCTTTCCCCACTAGCCCCAAGGCCCCCCCCCC